GTATATAGATATTATACAAAATCTCATTAAAAAAAAGGGGATATTTATTATGGATGCGAGAATTCGAGAATATTTAATTTAACAAGAGTAGAAAAGAAGAGAAATAAATATATAAAAGTTGATTAAGTAATATTTAATTTTAAAATTAGTTAAGGAAACAAGATTTTATAAAATTATGTTCAATAAATGTTTGAAGAAAATTTTTGATTGTAAAGAGTCTTGTATAAATTTGTTAATACTATAAAGAATATTGAAAATAAATTATTCTTTTGATTTTGAATTCATTTAAATTCTCCTAAATTTCTTATTTACCAAAAATTGTTGATGTATTAAAACTAAAAAAAAAGAGATATAAATAATAAGAAGGTCATATTGAAATTAAATGAATAAAGCACGAAAATGTTAATTTTTTTAATCATTCATCCTACTCAAGCTAATATTTTTCATCAAAATAAAATAAAAAATTTTTCTCCTTTCTATTGATTTTTTCTTACTCATTTGACCCATCTGAATAAATAGAAGGATCTTTTTGATGAATTTTATCAATTTAATTGAATTAATTTTCTTCTTCTGATTCTTCACTTAAAGACTCATCATCACTTGATTCAACTTTTTTAGCTTTTTATTTTTTTGATTATTCTATTTTTTATTTTTATCCTTTCTATTGTTTTTGAATTTAAACATTTTTTTTGTTTTGTATTTTATTATCTTCTTCTTCACTTTCACTTTCACTTTCACTTTCACTTTCACTTTCACTTTCACTTTCACTTTCATCATCATCATCATCATCATCATCATTATCTTCCCATAATTATTCATCTTCTTCATCTATATAATCTTTTTTGTATTGAACAATCATCTATTCTCCTGTTTCACAATCAATAAATTTTTTATTATGTTTATCCCATTATATTTCACCTTTAAATATTTAAACAATTTTTACCTTTTTCAATTTTTCTAAGAACAGTTCTTTTTGATCTCTCTCTTAAACATTTAAGTGTTTCATCCATTTCTTCACCACTTGAACTATCATCATTTATTTCAATAGGTTCTGTGCATTTTGAACATTATTTTAATTCATCAGAACATGCATCACATAATCTTCTATATGCCTTAAAGATATTCTTTTTTTCACATTTATAACATCTAGATAAATCATGAGGAGTCTTATATTTGCCATATTTTATTTTCCATTCAATCTAAGCTAAACACAATTCACATAATCTAATTTAATGTTATAAGTATACCTATCTAAAGAGGCATTCTAAACCTTCTCTGTGTAATGGTCATGAAATCTCATTTTGAATGCAATTTTGTTTTAATATTTTGGTGCTCCCTTTTTCATTAATTAAATTGTTTATTTTTATGAATACTAAAATTGAAATCCCATAATTTATGAAAGATTAGTTACGCAAGTAAACAATTAGTCCTGAACCAGAAAAATAAAAATCATAAAATTTTCATAGAAGATTTACAAGTTCATAGATTGAAAGTGCAGGAAAAAATCAATAATCCTAAAAGAGTTTAACTAATAAAATTTAAAGTATGACACTTTGATCAATTGTAGTGCATGGTTTATAATAATTGCTTAAGATGGGTCCACATAATAAAGTACTTCAATCTAAAGTTTACTCATAGATGCTTATACATGAGAGCTTTTCTTAATAATATTTAAAAGACTTGAGTGCAGCTTATACTCCAAATCAATAAGTAACCATCTAATAGAACTTTTTTAAAAAAGCAACACTATCTTAAAACTCAACAATGTCAGGTAGCATAAAACCTAGAATGAGAAGTGCAAATAAAGAAACAATTAAAAAGAGATCACAAATTGAAACTACATAATTACTATCAAACAGAGAAAAGGATAGATAAACCATTACCTAATTGTAAGAAATTCTTTAAAGAACAAATTCGTTGTTGCAACAATATCAAAATGAAATATCTAGACATATTAAAGAAAAGGAGGATTTAGTTAATATCATCCAATAGTTGCAAAAACTCTGAATTTTTTCAATATGGTTTTAATCACTTGTGTTTTAACGTTAAATTTAAATTTGACTTCTTTATTCTTATAAATTATTACTTTCAATTCAAAGTTCTTTAAAATTAACATTGTTTATTTTGAATCGAGTTTATAAAAAAATTAAATATAATAATTCATCAACAACCATGTCTAAAGAATTTATGAAATTTTGTTTATATTTAAATATAAGAGAAGAAGAATTTGAATTATATTTAAAAAATATTAAATTTTATTTTAGTAATTCTTAAAGGTGCTTTAGCTTATTAGAATTCATATATCTATTTATTCTTGAAAAAAGATTAAATATAGTATAATTATATTTCCAAAAAAGTTTAATATGGTAAAATATCTCTAGAAAAAATATGAAATTAAAAATTAAATTATGTAATAATAGATTTCAATCAATTTTGAATTTAAAACTCATATCATTGGAGTATGATAAGATAAATTCAAACAAGAAGACATTTAAATATAACTGATGTCAGATTTTATTTCATCTACAAGCCCCTTAGAATATGATAATTCAAATCTAATTAATTTTCTTAATAAGTAAGTAAAGCTTTGGATAGTGAACTAAGTTAAAAACCAAGGGATTTTTTTATTTAAATTAAACGTTATTTACTTTAAAATTAAATTTGCTTTTAATCTTCAAATTGCTTTTTCATGCTTCCGAAAATAAAGATTCTATATGATCAAACTTGATTTTTTTGTTTTAGAAAAAAGTCTTATTCCAAATTATCAATATACATACTTTCCTTTTTTGTGAAAGCATAGATAGATCTTCATAGAGATTTTATTTTTTTAATGATGTTTTATATATTATTCAGTTATTTTTATCATAAATTATTTATAACTAGCTCCTTTAATTTTTTTATGAGTTATAAGGCCTCTCACTTTTATAGAAATCAAGTTTTTTATAATAATTGGATCTAAAATTTCATTTTTTTTTCATTAGATCTTTTATTACATTATCTTAATAGTATTTTAATTAATATAAATTATTAGATGTGCTCAAATTGTTAATTCTTGTTAGAACATTGTGGTCATATTTGAAATTTAATTTAAATTATTGTATCATTTCATTTTAACTTTCATGTAATTACTCTTCTTTTTGAATCTCATTGGATTTTTAATTAGAATCAAAATCAAACATTTACTTTAATGCTAAAGTCTTGTATAATTTTACTATTTATTTTTCCTACAATTATCAATCGTTCAATTAAACTATCACCAAAACAAGCAAATTTCTTTTTTTTCCAAAATTTCTAGTTGAATTCATTAAATTGGTTTACAAAAATGAGCAATAAAAATAACAATTTGTATTTAATTATAAATTAATTTAATTCTATAGTGAAATATACTTAATTTTTAAATAAGAGGGGAACACTAAATAAAATAACATGATTTAACATAAAAATACCTCATTCTTCAATATGAAATTCTAATAAATCATCTAATCTTAATTTTTTTATGTTATATTCTCGAAGGTCTTGAAAATGAGTTGCTTCTATCAAATAATCTATTAAATATTTTAATTCTTAATCATTTTAATCATTATGCCATTCAAGAATCGGTATTCCATTTTCAATTTAAAACCCAAAAGAATGAGCTAAATTGTCTACTATGAGCATATCTTTTAATTCTTTATTGCTTATTAATCTAAGATCTTTAATAAAAAAACCATTTTTAGTTTCCATACAATTATTTCTTGTCATAATTCCTGATATGTATTACTTAGTCGGATCTAAATAATTAATAATTGCTTGAGCATATGCTTAAGATGAAGCAGTATAAATATATATTGTATAATATTAAGATAGTTATTAAAGAAATAGCGAAGTATAAGGTCGAATATTAATCCCAATCTAATTTATTTAAATTAATTTACTTTTGCTTCTTCTCCAAAATCTCCAACTGCAGTAACATAAACTTAAGGATTTTCTCTTTGTGAACACGAATGAATCAAAGTTTCATCTAAATCTAATATAAGAGCTCTATCTTTCTTAGGATAAGCTTCTGAAAGTTAAACCTTCTTAGATTATATAAATTTATCAGATGGGCCCTTCAAGCATTTTCTTGCATAAATTAAACCTCTTTGAGTTAGAATAAGATGTTTTTTAAATGTTTATTCAGTTACATTTGGACCGAAAATTAAATGTCTGAAAGGATGATTGCTTAATTTATCTTTTCCATTATTTTATGAATTCTTTTTACTTTACTCATTATCAGAATTAGCATTTAAATTTTACATCGAGACAGCTTATCTAAATTATAACTAATTTAATACTTAGTTTTATTTAGCTTTGGATTTTATGGTTGTTGATTTAGTTTTTATTAAATTCTTTAAGCTTATTCTTCAATGTTATAATTTCCTTCTTATTATTATATTTAAACAGGCTATTACTTTTTTTCATTATCACTAAACTCTGGTTCAATCTCAACATCTCCATCAATTTTCTTTGTATTTACTAAATTGCTGAATCTTGACATTTTTGCAGCTAATTAAATATAATAAAACTACCTTAAGGTTGTTTGGCTCTTGGCTTTTGGTTTTTAGGTGTTCCAGAATCAGAGTCATCTGTCTAATACCCATTTTATTGAGTTGGTGATTTCACTTTGCTTTTTACTATAGTCTTAGGTGTATTATCTTGAGAATTAGTACTTTCACCTTCTTCTTCACTGTAAAATTATAGTTTCTATTCTTAATTAATGACTGATTTAATGTGACCAACTTATGACTTAGCTTTAAAACTATACAATTTGTCCATTTTATAATTTATTTTTTATATTAAAGAAACAAAATGAAATACAATAAAAAGAAGTTTTAGATTCAATAAAATCATCAAATAAAATCTTATATAAATATCATTAGAAAAAGTAAATATTAATTGTAATCTCAAAGTCAAGAATAAATTCTTTTGTTTATAATTTAGTTATTATAGTATGTTAAAGCAATTAAATATTATATAAAAGTTCATTTTTTTATGATTTTACTACTTTTCTTTTATGAAAGATTATATATATTTTTCTATGAAGTTGTTGATTATTTTTAGACAGTTGGACGTTATTATCTAGATGCCACAGATGGAGGAACCTTTAATTGTGATTAACTACCAACCATTGTGCCTCTCATACTCTATGGTTTGCTTTGTACAGATATTGCTTATTAAGAGTCATTAGATTCAGTTAAATGTGGATTATAATTTGGTTCTTAATCATCATCATCAATTCTTTCAAGTGGTTAGATTGGAGATCTTTAAATTTAGGGTTATTTTTCCTATTCAAATTAAGGGAATATATTTTTAGGTTCTATTTCTGGAGATTTTGGTACTACCAATGGTTATTGTGGTCTATGAGATCCTACACCAAAAGAATCTTAACGAATTGATTATCTATTTTATAGATTTTAAAGTGTTTATTCAACTTATTGCCCTGTTAATTATTAGGTAATCACCTTATCTTGAGATAATGCCAAAGATTATCTTTATTATAAAGCATAAGGAGATCTTTGATGATCATTTATACTTTCATTTATTTAATTTGAGGGATAATTATAAGTTGATGATCGAGCTTAAGATTACTATTCAATATTTTATAATTGTTTTGATTAAATTTAATTTGAATATTAATATGATTATTATTATTAAATTTATGAATAGGTTTATTATTGTAGTTACTATTATTATTATTATGGAAATTTCTTCTAATCTGTATTAATTGATTGAAATAATGATTATTATTAAAATAAGTTATTATCATACTAATTTACAATAGGTTTTTATTATAGTGTTTTTAAATTTGAATTAGTTAATTCGACTTATTCAACTAAACTTTGTTTTGGTTATTCATCAATTTCTTAATGATTATATGCATATTCATCATCATTATGTATAATTTATTCATGTTCATTGTAATTCTGTTATTAATATTATTACGGATTGGTTAAATTTTTAAAAAAAGATTGTCTATTAGAAGGTGGATCCTAAATAATGATTTGATCACTCTATATATTCATTTATTTATTTTATAAAGGTAGAATTTCTTATAAAGTAATTGGTTATAAACTAGAATACTATTGTAGACTTTTAGTTGGTTCCCAATTAGGAATAGGAACTTTAAACTTTTAATTAGGTGATCTTTAGAATCTTATTTAGGCATCTTAACTTCTTTTTAAAGCTATCTTTGCCCTTTAATCAAGATTTTCAACCTAATGATATAATTAATTATTTGGATCTTAGTTTTATAAAGTATGTTATTAAAGCCCAACAACTCTTTACTTTTGATATACATCACTCTATTCTCTAAAATCAATTGAATAACTTGGTATATATTCAGCAATAGTAGATGACTATGATAATCATATAATATTACTCTAAAATAGTCTTCCAACTAAAATCTGTATTTATATAATAGTTCATGTGCCTGTTTTGGATTTGGCCTATTATCAGGTGCCATTATAAGTAAAGATTCAACAATATCATATAAATCAGGGCTATATTAAGATTTTAAGAAAAATAAATAATCATCTAATTTTTCCATATTAAAAGTATAGCTTTAAATATCATAAATATCCTAAACAAAACTTAAAGTTGCCATTTACAATGCTGTTAAACCAATACAAAATACATCTGATTTATTTTAATCAATATTTGGTCTTAATACTTTCTGTTTAAGAGAAGATAATTATTCAGGACTTAAATTATATTAACCTTATTATTTAGCAATGCATCTTCTATAAGCATTCATATCTGTCATTTCTTAGATGTCAGTTAATTTAAAAACTGAAAATGGATGATTCTAACGAAATTAACTTCTTTGAGCATATGATGTTACACTTATAGTTAAAGGTCTAATATCACCATGTTATTTTTATTGATCATTCAATTTTTATAATGCCATTAACTAATATTATATTTCAATTTATTACTGTACAATGTAACATAGCAATTATTTCAATTTCATCAAAATATTATTTTGTTTCACTTAACTCATTAATTACTCTTTCTAAATATTCATCAAAATATTCATAAACACTATGTGCTTAAGTTAATTGAGTGCATAATTCCTTTTCTGTAACATGTTATAAATCGATCATTTAAATTAAGAAAGGAGTACTCTATTTCTATAAATTATTAATGATTATAATATACATTTCCCATATATTTTTCTTATATTATTTTGAATTAATTCCATTATTCATCATCTTAAAAAATATGATCTTTAACAGCTACAGCATGTTGATCTTAAGTTTTGAATATTCTTATCTCTCCATACCGAATATCTGTAGATTACTTCCAAAATTATAGTTGACTGATTTTAGGAACATCCATTTTTGATTGTTGTAAATTTTATGAATTTGTTTAACCCATTCTGTTAAATAATTTTATTTTTAATAAATTTTAATTCTAACTAAATACAATAAACATATATTCTCAAAATATCAATAAAAAGGTCAGATGAATATCAATTTTATATTTTACATAAAAATAAACATATTTGTCAAAATTAAATAAAACCTATTTAATCTATAAGAATTTTCATGGTTATTTATATTATAAAATAAAATTTGAATATTCTTGTGTGAATTTTACTTTTTAATCATTTTTATAATTCAACCTAATAGTTAAAGCAAATTTATGATAAATAGAAATCATCATTGATTTAAATGTATTAAAAGTTGTCAAAATAAAATTTAAAAATACTTCCATAATGAATCTCAAGATGATCATTTTTTTATAATAAACATTAAGTTATTTATCTTAATTTGAAAAAATATCTAAGAATATAATTTGATTATTGTATAAATTTCTAATCTAATCACATTAATAATATTAATAATATTAATTATAATAAATTAAATATTGATTATTTATTTATTGTGTAATATTCTTTGTAGAATTCACAATACTAATTGGATTATGTATTCTTACTTCTTGTTATGAAACTTAAATATCTAGTTATAAATCAAATATACATCATTAATACATTGTAATAATGAGTGTAAAATAATTTTTTGGCATAATTGTTTTTTATTGAAAACGAATATTTTAAAAAAAAAAAAATTTTATTAATCATATTTTTGTATTAACAGATTCCCATTATGATAATCATGTAGATGTAGAAACTATATAAATATCATCAGTCCCAATGAGGTAATAACTCTGGTATATAAAGATTTAGTAGCAATTAAAAATTTGATTAATTTATTTTAAATATCAAATTGATATAATATGTCCGTATCATAAGAACAAAGAATTTCTTCTACATCTACACTTAAAGAAGATTGCATTCCTCTGAAGAGATAATGCAGCATCCAAAATTTACTTAGAAGAAAAGATTTTAAATAAGTGGTGAGGATTTTATAAAATTAGAATAAGTCAAGGTTAGGTTATATTACTATTCTAGAACGAATTATAAAAAGTTAAAGTATGAGGATTAAATCTATCGTGTTGGATAAAACTTATGCATCAAAGGTGACAACAGATCAGAATATGTGGCTAAACTTATTAAAATAGTTAAACTCTATGATGATGAAGATAATTGCATACCTTTAATCAAAGTACAATGGTTTTATAGAAAAAATGAACTTTATGGTATACCTAAAGAATAAATGGATTGTATTTCAGAAAATGAAGTTTTCAAAACTAATGAATTTGACTATATTGAAATAGAAAGCATAGTGGGATTAGCAATTATTCTCAGTTATGAAGAGTATGATTAAATTGAAGAGTTAAATGATAATGTTTACTTCACAAGAGCTTCATTTATAGACAGAAAATTACAACCCTCTGTTGAATAATGGAAATAAGTTTGTATATGTCATAAGCCCGCCAATCCAGATTTAAAGTATCAACTTATACTAAATTAGGTATATATTTTGTGATGTTTGTTAAAAATGGTGTCATTTAAAATGTGTGGGCCTAACACAAGACTAAGCGGATAAACTTAATAAATATATATGTCCTGATTGCAAAAACTGATATATAGTATATTTTTTATATTGATAAAACATATTCATCTGATTAGCATTATAATGCTATTTCATACATTTCGTTGTTATCTCATTATTTTTAGAGTTAAAAATAGTTATCTTCTCATTATTTCATTAATCTACTTGATTGGATAATTTTCTATCATAATTTTTTCATGAATTAACATCAGCATAACAACTATCCTGTAATTCCACAATAATTAAAACCATCATCTAAAAATCATTACATTTTTTATTAATGGCCTTATTAAATAAATCAAATTTAAATATAAAAATTCAAGGAGACTAAGACCATAAAACAATATTTATTTCTTATTTATAAAATAAAACCCTCATTCTAATTTCAATAAAATTACAGATTTATGTAATCGATATAAAAATAGAACTCAAAGAAATTTTAACAAATACTTCAACAATTAATATGATGAACTGATTTTTTCATTTGCAGCAAATAATTCAAATTCATATGATTTGCATGATTAATTAAAAATGATTTAGTATATTAATATATATAAAATCTAAAAATATTACCTTTTTCTAAAATATAATATAGAAAAACAATCTCCATGTTATACTAAACACTTTTTTTTATTTATATAGTAAATTGAAGTTAGGAAAGTTTAAGAAAAATTATTTTTTCCTAATATTTAATTAAATCAAAAATAACAGAAATTTGTAGTGGTTCAACAAAAAATTTTGATAAAATAATATAATATGTAATGAAAAAATTTATTATATTGTGATAGACAATAACATAGTCTCTAATCAATATGTATTTTATATACTCCACATAAGTTATTTTATAACTAAAAATATTCAAATCTAATTTAAGTCTCTTTTTAATAATATATAAAATATTTCAATATTTCTTTATCAATACTCTCTATTTTCTTTTTTTGATATTATAACTACAAGTTGTATTTCATCAATCTTAACTCGCAGATTTTATTCAAATTGCAAAAAAAAAAATTAGAAAAAGTATGGACGTTGGTTAATATAAATTTTAATTTATAAATCAATATAATCAAGTCAAATCCTATTCCTCATTTATTGATTTCTTAATCATTCTCTAACTGAAGTTTAAACAGCTTTAAAATTAATAGAATTAGAGTTTATATGAAGTTAAATTCTTAAAAAAAAATGAGGTTTATATATATTAGAAATATCATTTCAAAAATGTTTACTTCAATGATAATTAATAATAATTTAGAGAATAGTTTAATTAGAAGCATAAATTAAATACAAGAGGAGGATTTATTATAGATATTTTATATATCAAATAATATCAATTTTATAACATAAGCAAATTAACATTATGAGTAATATTATAAAAAAGTTGTTGATAATTTCTAATAACAAAATTTAGATTATAAAAAATAAACTATAATAAGAAATTTCTTATAAATAGATATAATATATTATGAAATACAATTGAAAATTCACCTTATTATTATATATTAATTGAGGATGAAGATTATATTATTGTGATAGGGAATTTATATAATTTTATATTTATCTCATTTATACGTTCTTATTTTAAATGCTACTGATTTAAACAAATTTTATAAAGGTAATTTAATGTCAATTTCTCTTGTTGTTATCAATTCTACTAAACATTCAAAGACTTAAAGTAATGGATGTGGTTCCAAGTTCAAATCTTTTAATGATTATAATTCCAATAACAATTAAATAATTTCTTAAACTCGTTTTCTACTTAAAGGCATTGATCCTGACATATATTCATCCTTCATAAATTAGGTTACCAAAGATTAGCAAATCTAATTCAAAGTATATAAACTTTTATGTTTTTTAAATACTATATTCATTAACTTTTACCTTGTTTCATAAAACAAATCTTCCAATTAATATAAATTTATATTTCTAGATAGTAATTCCCAATAATTGATAATTTCTCTATCCAATATATCTTATGAAAGTAACCATTCACATATTTATAATTCTACATCTATACAACTCTTTAAACCATCAATACTTATTATTTTGTCCCATTACTAAGTAAAATTGAGTTATTCAGATAAAAGTTATACATATTCTTCTTTTTAACAAATTTCTATTGTCTGTATAATTAATGGTAAAACTTAAACCCATAATGGTTTACTTGTTTTATTATAATTCTTAACATTATTAACTTTTTATTGATTTTATCTAGTCGATAATTAAATTAGACATATTTCAACATATTATTTAATAAGATCAGGATCAGTTAATTATTTATCTTCTATATATGTATTTAATAATTGTATATATTTGTAAATGACTAAATCCTATAATTTGGTCATTCCTCCTTCCTTCTTTATATTAAACAAGAGAAAATTATAGAATTTAGATTTATCCTATTGAGTATTAAGATAAACATAAAAGTCTTCTGCATAATCATGTAATTACTTTTCATCCATCCATATCTTAATATTTTATATGTTTTCTATATTTATTGGTAAATCAACAATTGCTTAATAGCTTTCATATAGATTATCAATTAATTCTTCTGGAAATTAGTCTTACTCTAATTTATGAGCTTTTAGAAATAATACATATAATTCACACACTTCTGGTAATATTTTATTGATTAATGTTTTAACATCTCTATTATCTTAAATCTTTTAACCTATAAATTCTTATATACAAATAATAAAATCTTTAGCCCAATCAAATGATGCAACCAAGTTTTTTTCAATCATAATTTCTGTATTTTCTTTTATTAAACGAATAATTTCCCATTTTATATCCAAATTGTTAATTTTAAATGAAATTATTAATCTAATGAATGTTTCATTATACAATTATTATGCTTATTATTTAAACTCTTATTATCCAATCTTTTTCAAAAATTTTGTTAAATTTTGAATCATTATTTTAAGAGTTTCTTCCCAAGCTATTATGACTTCATTTTAAGTTTTAATTGAAGTTTATAAATCTTAATCAGAAAATTTAGTAAATTTTGGATAATCTTCTTCTTTTAAATATTTTGGAATTTTCATATGAAAAATAACTTACAATTATTGTAATTAAGCAACTCTTCCAATCAAATCATCTAAAATCTTAAATAATATGTTTTTTAGTAAATCAATTTAAAAGTTTATTCTAAATGATCCACAATTAATTAATATTATTTATATTATAATATGTAAAGCTGATTATCTAACATCTGGAGTGTTATCTAATGATAAATCTTTTAAACTCTATAAAACTACAGTCCATAGTTCCTCTACTTCAATTTATGATGTCTAATTTGTACAAATCTTATTTAGATTATCTGCTAATTACCAAATTAAACCAACAGAAACATAATTAATATTTTATTCTGTTGTTCTTTATCTAAATTATTTTATTAATGGTAATAATCTTCTAGTTGTCTTAGGATCCAATAAATGCATAAATTACCCTATCAATAATTCCAAAATATGAAATCCAATATTTACATATCCAGTAGGTTCTGTTCCATCACAACTAATTAATAAAATTTCTATAATAGTATTAAATCCTAGAATATTCAATTCATGTCCATTATTTTAAATAAGTTTAAAAATTATATTTAACAAAGTTTCTTTGACATCAGTATAAGGAATATTTATCATTTGTTAAATGGGACTTAATAAATGAGATTACCAACTATCTCCATCCCAACAACAACTTTAATCTGGTCTTAAAAAATAAATAAATCCTTATTGAACTAATTATGAAAAGATTTCCAATGCTGTTTCCCTAAATGCCTTATGTTTATAGTTTGCTATACATAAAAAATGAGCTGTAATAAAATCCCAAAATTTATGAATCCTGAACCAATTTTATTTTGTTATTTAATGTATTTTTTACAATCCAAATTAAATAGATTTAGAATCAACAAGATTCTAAACATTATTAAATTATTCCATTAGACTCAAAGTAACTTAATTTATTGCTTCAATCATTTAAAGTAAATGGGAATCTTCATATTCGTTGCTTGATGAAAACAAACCCTCCAAGATTTTGTTTAATTATGTTATATCTTACTAATAAACTTCATGATATTATTCTTATTAAATAGCATTCTAAGTTTATGATTTTTAAATTAATGTATCAAATTATTACATAGTCTTCATTATTATATACCATGATTTTATATCTAATAAATCTATAAAATTAAATAATGAAATTTACTTCCTATTTATGCAATTTTAAATAAGATTTTAGCACTTTACAATTGATATTTTGTTAGAGTTATATTTTATTTAGTAACACAAAGACTACTTAAATATTTAATAAAGGCTTCTCTAGTTTTAACTTAACCTAAAGAATTAGATAAATAAATCCAATTTTATAATGAATTTAAAATAGTTTAATATTGGGTTTCATCATTCAAATTTGTCATTAGATTTTAAATTGTTTTTAAAAATAATTATTAAGTTGTCTCAATTATTTAATTAACCTCCTTACCATTCTCATCAACTATAATTTTTGATTAAACTTATTTGTAATTCTAATTGAAAAATACAATTTAATTTTTATTAGCAATATTTAGTATCGAATCAGTAAAATTAGATATACATTCAACTATTTATATAATTTGCTATTATACTTGATTTTTAAGTGAACAATGATTTATTATAATAGGGAATCTCTGTTAAATTTAATATATTTTATTAATATACATTCTTTTACTTTGCATATGTTTATTATTAATTAGATTAATTTAAAGTATATTAAGGTTCTTATTCTGTTGATAATTTTACAATAAAAATTAAATGTTATAAAAAAGTAGTTTATTGCTATTAATGTTCTTCCTATGTAGATCCTTAATATAGTATCATTACTAATTTAGGATCTTTTAATAAACTCAGAATTCCTTCTAAGATCCAATATCTAACATAACCATATTATGGAGATCTAGTGAATAATAGACTAATATGTTTAAGTAAAGATATGTCTCTTTATAAAGTAACTATCATACTGAATGAATCCCTAATTCTTCTTGCATCTATGATTAAAAAATTTTATATACTAAATTAAATATCTGCAGAATCTAAACTCATTTCTTCATAAATAATCCCTGAAAATTCTTCAATTAATTTATTAAGCTATTCATCTTTATTTAAAAAACACCCCAAAATTTAGATGATCTAATATATCATATCTCTGCATATTCCTTTAGAAAACTCATTCTATATAATGAAAGGAACCTTTTATCCTTTCATTCCTTAAATAAGTTGTAAAAATATCGTAACTCCATTTTTATGAGGTTCATCTTTGTATGATATATATATAAAATCTAATATTTCCATTAAACCTGTCATTGCAGTTGTTCGTATAATGGGATTTTTTGAGTTTACTAAAGTAAAAAATATAAAAAGTAGCTACTTTTAGATTCACTATTACTTTCTCTATGCTTTCAGGATTATTGATATTCACTATATCATAATTAATTAAATGTACACTACATTGTACTAATTTTAATTGAACATTTTCATTTATTTCATCTTTAAGCAAATAGAGAAACTATTATAAGAGATGAAGGTCTGCCTAAAATAGATACTAATTTACTTTTTGTAATAAATTTGAATTGATAAATTTTAGAATAATGTTAAGAGCAATTCCAGATGTTTAATTACTTTTACTTTCAGGAAGCTTAATAAAAATTTTTAAGATTTCTTATATAGGTAAATTTTATTATGACTTATGCTTTTTGATTTCATCAATTATTCCTTAAATTAGAGGTTTCAAAACTTGATTTTTCTTTTAATCATTCAAAAGTTATTAGAATTCATTCAATAAAGAATCAATTAAATTCATTAATTTATAGTAAATAATAATCACTCTATTTAAATTTATGTATACATAATCCCTGTCATTATCTCAGAATGATATAAATCTATTAATATAAAATAACAGAAAACAATTCGCCAATAAAATTATTATGTTTAAAGAAATTCTAATAAAGAAAAGATTTAAGATAAAAGATTTCTTATTAATAATTGTAAATCAAGCAATATTTATATAAATTTAATATATAAATGAATTAGTGAGTAAAATATTGATGATTGATAATAATAATTATATTAAACAAATAACTTCATTTATATTATTAAATTTATTAATTATAAAGGAATTTAAATTAATTAGTAGTTATAAACTAAAATGATATGTCTCATTTCTATAATTAATATGCCAGATTTTATGAATGAATTTAAAATCAAATTTATTGTAAGTTATGATAAATTAGAATAAAAAATATTAAAAATATAAGAAGTTATTTTAATAATTAAAAAATTATTATAAATTAAATTTAAATAAAAAGATAAATCTTTATAAAAGTAAAGATAAGATAAACAACAGTTAATTAATATTATAAAATTAAAAAATTTAATAGAGTAATATCTATTGAAAAGTATTCAAAATAAGTTGAGATACTAATTTTTCAATTATAAATTTGTTTTTTTTGATTTAAATTCCTCCAAGGATGTGAATGATCAAAGTACAATTAGTATTTTTCACTATCTCCAATTTTGTATTAATCAAGTGTTTCAAAGCTCTTTTCTGTATCAATTAAATCTACGTAAATCTTTTTTCTTGAAGTACTTCTAATAGCAGGAAGTGTGAATGAATTTTCACTAGAATCATCCCCAAATCTAAGGATTTAATTTTTCTTAAGTGCCAATTAAGCATATCTTTAAGTTTTTTGAAAAGCATTTTCTTCAGTTTAAACAGGAGTCTTTTTTCTCTTAGCAGATTTACATCTAATATTAAGATCTTCATATAATTTAATAGTTTTTTTAAATTCTATTTTAGTTTCAATAAGTTCTTATTCTTAATGATGTACATCTCTAACATCATATACTCTTTCTTCAAACTTTTTCATTCTCCAAATTTATTTTTGTTTTTCTAAATTTATAAAATCTTCTAAGCTATTATTTTCTGCATATTTTTTAAAGTCATATTATGAGAATTCATATAAACTGGATCCATCTGAAGCACATCTAAGAGTAAATTAATATTTCAATTCACTAGGATGTTAATAAAATATTTCTGATTCTTAAAGTTCACTTAAAATTAATTATTATCCTTGATATTATTTTACAACATGAAATACTCCATATTTAACAACAAATATTTAAGAATTATCTGCTCCTTCTTTAACAGCTATTTAATTTCTTACATAATGCTTCAAAACCAAATAATAAGATAATTATTTTAGATCTTCATCATTCCATAATCTTAAAGGAGGAATTGTTTATAAAAATACTAATTTTTCATGATGTAAATTCTAAACTTAATATAATAATAACTTTACTGATTTTTCCTAATATATCTATATATTGTTTTCGTGTTAAACAACCAAATTCACAATCTGTTTTAGTTGTGACTGTTGCTGTTGCTTTTAGATTATCTTTTATTAAGGCTAATTCACCAAATGAATCACCTTATTCAAGTGTTTTAATTTCTTGAAGACTAAACTAATCTTCTTCTCCTTTTAAAGATGGTTGAGATAGAAGTGCACCTTATGTTGAAGATTATTGAATTTATTATATACTAGTGTGCTAAGTAATGTTATTATTTTATATAACTTTCAAAGAACTTTTCCTTTAACCTTTTTGAACATATATGCTAATACTTACTTTTCCAGATAAGATTACATAAAAAGTTCTGTTTTCTTTATTAATTTAGATGACTATAATTAATAAGATATTTACTTGGATTACCAGCAGGTATTCTCAAATAAGATATGTTTTTACATAGATCAGCAACAATAAGAGGTCCATATTAAGCTTTCAATTTTTATACGAAACTTAATGATAACATAAATTATTGAATTTGTTCTTATTCTTTTTAGTTTCTCTATTTTTTTAAAAAGGCTTGTCTTGCTTCATTCAATAAATCATTTTGTGAAGGTTTAGCAGGTAGGAGACCTTTTTACTGTATTAATTTTTTCATCCTATTCATTTTTTTTAAGATGATAATAAATATTTTATAAATTGATTATTGTTAAATATAAATTTAACTAATTAAACAATATGTAAAGTTATTTACTCTCAAAAATTTGAACAAAAAATAAAATCATCAAAATTTCTTAATAAAATGGAGTCATTCATCTATTTAGTTCATAAGATCTCTTCTCCCTTGTAATTTTGCATACTTCAATTGGCAGATTTGCTTTTATAATAAATATCTTTGTCTACTTTATCATTAATACTCCATTTATTATTATTGTATATCTTAAAGAATTATAAAACTGTTTCTGGGTAAAGGAAATTAACAAATGCATAACCTAAATTTCCTTCATTCTAATAATAGCATTTAGCTATTTACATTATTATCAGATGGTAAATAGAGAAAATCAAATAAAGATTTAAAGTCTTTATTTAAGAGATTCCTTAGATCACTTGGTCTCATGTATTTAGGAATATTCTTAAGCATCAAAGTAGTTCTATCATCATTAAGTATCTACAAATAAGGAACAAAAAACTACATTTTCCTCACAAATTTCTAAACTGTAATAAAAAGGTTGTAGCTTTTAGTATATTTGTCTTTCATCTTAATTTAATATAAATCTCATTTCGATTAGTTCTTATGTAAGTAATTTTTAATTAAATAGACTTCCTTCATCAGGCATAAATAGTTTAAAGTCTCATAAGTAAAACACAATACCAAAAGAGCATAATGATGCTTCAAATTTTTCATCTTGACTTAATAATGGTCTGGGAATTTTTAAGTTAGGAATTTATTTTGATTCAAATGATGAATCACTAGAACTAGCTGGAGAAGCTGTAGTATTAGCAAAAGAAATTCTTTCTTTTTAATGAGGTGTACGGAGTGCAATATCAATTATATCACAAATCATTATTTAATAATAAAAACGATGGTTCAATGATTTTCTAATTTTTTTATAGTTGCTCTGGTTTTGACTTATCTTTCAAAATTACTTAAACACACTAAGCAATTCCACTTTCCTTTTGGTACTTCTTTAAGTCCTAAACATTTGGTGTGAAATACTTTTGGACAAGTATCACAACAAATAACTTTACCACCTAATCCACATTTCTTACATTTATCATCCCATTTACTCTCCATATATATTGATTATTATTAAAACTTAACCCTTTATCTTAAGTTTTACACTTTAATTTCTGGTTCTATAATAGGTTCAATTGGTATTTATTTTTTAACATTTATTTCCTCTACTTTTTTTTTATCAGGTATTTGTGTCACTATTTATTATGTAATTTTTCTATTTAAATAGTCTTAAATTATTTAACCAAGAATTTCTAAACATATTTTCAATTTGACTAGATTACAATCTTTTTTTAATTGTTCTATTAAATTTAATCTTAAAGTTTCATAATAAGTGCCAAACAATTTCATTGGCAATTTTCTAATTCTCACTTTTCCTGTATCTAATTATTCTAATTATTAAAGAGCTGTTTATAATGGTTATTCAGCAGATGAATCATCTTCAACAACTTTTCTTTTTCTATTTTATTATTAATATGATTCATCATCTTTATTTAGTTAAAGATTTTCATCTTCATTAACTTCTTCTTCAGGTCTTAATTCTAATTTCTCTTACAACATAGTATTATCAACAAAATATTCTATTGCTTTACAAAAAGGAGCAAGATCTTATTCATTATAATTCTTATCTAATTTTTTTACAATAACATTTTGAAAACTCTTTAAAAATTAATTTCTAATTTCACTACTGCACCATCTTGAGTTTCTTTGATTTAGATACTCAGTCAGCATATTTTCAATATTTAAAAATTCCTATATTAACATATCAATATCTAAATTTTCTAAACTATTTATATTATTATCCTTAACACTATTATTACTATTGTTTTCTGCATCATCAATTTCACTATTGTTTTGTGAGTTCTTTAATTTATCTTCCTTTTATTCCTCTTCTTCCTTATTTTAATAAACTATCAATAACTTTGCTCTTTATAATTCTAAAATGTTATTTCTTAATGAATTTTCTTTAACTCCTTTTTGACAAAATACCTCCATTAATATATTTATATCTGTTATATCATAATAACCCCACTAAGAAACTTCATCATCAATTATAGAATGTTTCATACAAACAAATATTTTGTCTGATTCCCAAAGAAAGAAATAATATTAACTATTCTTGTTATCATATCCTAAAAACACAGAAGGATTTAATACTAATGATGAAATTTATATGATAGCCAATTCCTTAAATATATTAATTATAATAATACTTTCTCTTATTAATTAAATCTCTCAATTAATATATTTATTTCCTTTTCTAATTTTTAAGATTATTATTTTAATTTTTGACATTACTTTTGTGCACTTTCCTTTTATTTAATAAATTTTTGTGTTTCAACTCTGCTTAATCCATCTTCTAATAATTTAGACTAAAAAATTGCCAAATATTTTACTTTTGCCATTTGATAATTCCCATCAGATTCTATAATTTCTTTATTTATTTCCATCTATTTACTTCTTTGCTCTTTAATTTGAATTCCTAATTATGTTTTCATTCTATTATTGGTAAGTATATTTTCAGTTCTATATTAATATAGAAATTAGGTTCTCTTTAATGTTTCTATTCCATCAACCAAAGCTATTACTAACTTTGTCAATTTATTTATATTTTTATAATCACCAAAATCAATTAAATAATCTGGTAAATATAAAATTCCTTATTTAAAAATATTGGTTGGTAAGGATTTAACATCATCTCTTATCAATTGATAATACCTCTATCTATTAGTATACCACAAATATCCCATAAGTTGCCAATAAGGTATTTTCTTCATTATATATATATAATACATATTATTATTTTTGCATTTATTCTATATCTAAATCTTCAATAAGTTATTTTAGATAGAAATAACAAAAAAATAAGATTAATTCTTATGGATTATGTTATAAAGTAAGATAGATTTCTATCCTTGATTTTTGATTATATAATGTATGATTATCTTAAAAATGAATTAAAGTTCCAATATTATTTGTCTATAATTAAGCTAAAAATAATATGGAATATATACATACTTTCCATTTATTGTTCTTGAAGAATGTCACTTATAATTTCGTTCATATTATTGTATGAATCCCAAATTTTTAGTACATCTTCAAAAATTTCTTAAGGAATTGCCGGGTCTATACGAAGGGCGGGTTTCTTTTTAGGCTCAATATTAAACAAACCTTAATAGGCTGTTAAATATTCATCCAAGATAGGAAAGGTTACTCTACCTTATTATATATAAGTAGGATAAAGAATTTAAAATTCAGTAAGCTTTTTGATTTTGTCTTCTTATGGTTGAAGTGTTTTTTAAAAGAATTCTTGTATTTAGTTGCATTGTTTCTTTTTTTATGGTTTTGATTCCTTGAGTTTTCTCTTTGCTATCCTATCAATACAAGACAAACAATGCCATTTAATTCCATCCTAAAATTGAGGCTCTTTGTTTTATTTGCGTATACATTCCTAATGGTATTTGAAATGACAGCGAATGCAAATAATAGTAAGTGTAGACATAGTTGATACTTAGCAGAGTCGACATATAGACTTATCACCAAACTACTGTTTTCCATCAATTGGCTTTTTGAGTTCTTATTTGTCTTCTAGTTTCTTGTGCTTACGACCCTTCTTGCTGGTAGCTTGGTTTGAATCATATGCTATTTCATTTTCGTTAATTGCTTATTTATGTAGTTCTTAACTGCTCATTCTAGTCGAAGCCTGCGAATTATTTGAATTTATTTACTAGATTCAAAGAAGCGCTAATTCCTATACAACTAATTAATTATATATTATTAGCTGAAAGCAATTTTAAGAATTTCCCAATTTTTTGGATTCATTGTTGAATTACTTTTATATTACTAAGTGTTTGAGACATGATTTTATTAAGTATTTTCTAACAAACATAGTATATAAGTATGTTTTAAAATTATATTTCTGGTACTATTTTTATTTTAAAATGCTGCGAAATTTAATGAAGATAGTAATGAGAAGTTCAAAGTTAGAATAGTTAATGAAATTCAAAGGGAAACATGATATAAGTTGTTAAGGTATTGAATAATTTGATTGAGAGAGTTCAAATAGTTGATAATGGATACAAGACAACAATTTACATAATTAAATGGAGAACAATTAAATTGTGTTGTAGATTTAATGAAGCATGACTAATTAGTGGATGATGATAATACAGACTATTTATTGACAGCAATTAAGAATGTTGAAGATTAATAAATCAAATATTAGCTTTTAGATAAAATCATATTGCCTACTTCCAATTTTTCAAAGGAATAAGTCAAATAAATAGAATAGATAATTGAAAATTGTTAATAATATGCTATGGGATTGTCATTAATGGGCAAAATGGTTGCTTTTTATGATTATTAGAATATATAAATAATGAATAAATTTATTAAGGAATTTGATGTTACTAAAACAAATGCAGAATAATTGGGTGCTGCTTGCATTGGTTTAGCATTGGGATAATACAAAGATAAATAATTATGGGATGATATTGCCTAACATTGTTTAAAATTAGATAAGGATTTTCATTCATATATGAGAATAGCAACAGGAATGGGATTGACAAATAATGGTAATGTTGAGTTTTGGAATGATTTTATTGAATAATTTAGAAAATAATTAAAAACTATAAATGAAGATCTATTTACATAATCATTACAAGTTATATCCTAACAAAATGTTGTTTCATTAGAATTATGTGAAGCAGAAATAGAATACTATATAATTAATTCACATATTAGAATTGAAAATATGATGTCAATCTATGTATCTATGGCAAGAAAATAATTAGGATCATAATAATTATATTCTAAATTATAATAAGATATATATGAAATGTAATTATCTGGTGATGATTTAATTTTATATGTAATTGAATTAATGCAAGTAAAGGATAGATTACCAAATTAAACTCTAAATGTTTTGGTAGCTAAAGCATACTCAGAAAGTCAAAATTAAGAATTAATAGATAAATTAACAAATTTGATAAAATGAATTTTATATTTAATATTTATATGAAATTGTACAACATAATTAATTTATCATTTAAAATGTTCTTTTATTTTTGAGGAAAGTTCATCACAAGTTTTCTTAGCATCACCTAATAACATATTGTTATTTGGTTTATAGAATACTGGATTATCAATAGCAGCATATCCAACACCCATGGATCTCTTCATAACTATACATTATTTAGCAGCCCAAACTCTTAATACAGGCATTCCTAAAAAATTAATTGAATAATATACCTGCAATTGGTGAATTTGGATTCTCTTCAGCAGCTGAATTTACAGTATCATTAGCTCCAATTACAACAGCAAGATCAGTATCAGGGAAATCATCATTAATTTCATCCATTTCAAACACAATATCATAAGGAATACCAGCTTCAGCTAATAAGACATTCAATTAACCAGGCATTCTACCAGCAACTGGATGTATACCAAATCTAACTTTAATTCCTTAATCAATAAGTGTCTTGCACATTTCAGCAACTGGATATTATGCTTTAGCAACTGCCAAACCATATCCAGGAACAATGATGATAGATTTGCTACCAACCATCATTTCAACAGCTTATTCAACATTGATTTCAGTGTGAGTACCTTCAACTTTAGTAGATTAAATAGCAGCTGGATTAACATCAAATCCACCAAAAATAACACTTGTTAAATTTCTATTCATGGCTTTACACATAATATAAGAGAGAATAGCACCTGATGATCC